TTAATTTTTATTTTGTAAGTAAGTGCTGCTGCTTTCTTCTAATTTTTTTTCCAATACTTTCAACTTTCACTGATTTAATGGCCATAAATTTGACTTTTGACCCCTGTATAGGCAGTGAGAAAATATTCATACTTTTACAAGTGCTTAGCATGTCTAGATTTCTCACTGGTGTTGGTTTTACTGATGCAAAGATACTCCCAATACCAGGGCCAAAATAATGTTTGAAAAAACAGGCCAGTCCTTCTTTATCAGAGGACCAGTTTCAGTGGGATTTAGTTTTCTCAAATGACTTTATGCATCTGGGTCTGAAAGGGCTTGAAAGTAGGTCAGAAACAAGAAATTTTCTAGGATTTTAAAGTGAAAGGTGCTGTAGCACATACCTGGAGATCAAACTGTTATTTCAGTCATAGAAAGAAATTTTAACTGCAGAAGGTTTCTTTTGAAAGCAGGGAGAGATGGATAAAATTATATACAAAGTGCTTTTGATTTGATTTCTACTATTAATGTGTCCCTTTACTGCAGCCACAATTCCTCTAGAGTCTTTGATGTGCAACCTCTTCAGAGATTCCTTCTGTTAGTGGCTCTTCTCAGCCCAAGGTAATTTCCCTGAGTATTCTTATGGATCTGGGTATTGTTACCTGAATGACACTAAAGAAACTGTTTTTTCTAGAACAAGTCCATTTCCTCTGTGAGTTAATACAAGGTAGGGTGGGGTTGTATCCCCTCTGTCTCTGAGACACGTAAGCCCAACAGCAGACAGCAGGGAATGTGCTGAAGCTTTGTTGGAGATTTTGTTTTCCCCAGAAAAGCCTTTATATGTAGCTGCTGAGCAGAGCCAAGAAGCAGCCTTGACAGTTCTCTGCTGCTTGATGTCTGTCTCATCTCTGAGGTGTGTAGGAATTTGTAAAGGCAGATTAATATTTAACACACCTGGAGCCTTTGATCTTTCAGTTGGAGTCTGGATATATCTAAATCCTCATAAAATGCAGACAGAGATGATGTTGCCTTTTATTCACTAATGCAGAGACTGGAGCACCATCGTAATTTCAATTTCTTCTTCCATCTCAGACCATTTCATTCTATTCTCCAATTTGTCCATCAAGAATCCTTATCACCAGTCTGCCAGGTGCTCATGCTGGAGCTGCCTAATTTCCAGGCTTTCAGCTGGGTATCTGAACCACTTGGCTTGAAAGCCTCTTTGTCTGATATTCTGAATCCTGAAGTGCTCCCACCACATAAAAAAGGTGGGATATCCTGCCTAGGATGTCCTGCAGGCTGGTGACCAGGGGTTCTCCTGGGGTGTAGGGTGGGTCCTGTAGACGAAGGCAGGATGGACCCACATCCTCTTTTTGCTCAGCTTGCAAACCCTGTCTCTCAAGAGTGGCTGCCGCTGAGGGTGTTTGAAAGAAACTTCCAGGCACATCCTCCTGGCTGGCTCAGGCAACCACAACTCACTGCTTTCCTCCATAAGGGAGCACTGGTTCCTCATTTGGCATTGCAAATTGTGTTCCTACCAGGGACCCCTTCGTTTTGCAGTTAATCAGTATTGACTATTCAAGTGCCAAGACTGGCCTTAGAAACCTTTGAGGATCTGGAAAAACACCCTTTTCCTCAACCTTTCTTGTTGACTAACTGACTGTTGTGAATCAGAGACAGTAAAAAGAGGCAGGACTGTCCACTGTGGACAAATTCCTTGTATCCTGGGGTTAGGAATCTCTTTCTGGGGAGATGTAGCCAGATTCTAGCTTAATGTTTCTGAGGTAAGTTTAGTATGCACATGAAGGTATTTTGGAAAGAAGAAATAGAAGAAACTATCTCAAACTGTGGTCAAATAGTTTGCATAACCTTAGAAAATAGCTGTAAAGTAGCTGGTGACCTGACCTGGTTTCTAATGCTTGTGACTGGCCCTTGTGCATAGGCAAGGGAGGCTGTAGCCCAGAAAAGCAGAGTTCAGCAATATGGCAAATGTTTTCCTGCTGGTTTTATCTGTCAGAGCACTGGGGGGCTGGCCTGGTTGCTGCTTCTCCATGGCATCCAAATTTCCATTACTTTTCCTCCCTGACTATTGTGGTTCTTTATGTCCACCTTTCCCATAGAATCATAGAAAGGCTTGGGTTGGAAGGGACTTTAGAGATTTTCTAGTTCCAACCCCTCTGCCATGGGCAGGGCATCTTCCACTACACCATATTGCTCAGGGTCCTCTGCAATCTGGTCTTGAACATTTCCAGGGACGGGGCATCCATAACTTCTCTGGGCAACCTGTTTTATCTCATCTAAATATCTCCTCTTTCAGTTTAAAGCCATTTTTCCTTGTCCTAGCCCTCTTTTTTTATAGCCTCACTTTAAGTACTGGAAGGCCCCAGTGATGTTTCCCCTGAGATTTCTTTTCTCCAGGCTGAGCAGCTGCAACTCAGCCTGTTTCTGTAGGAGAGGTGGTCCAGCCCTCTGATCATCTTTATGACCCTCCTCTGGACACATTCTGACAGATCCATGCATGGCTTTATGATGTACCTTCTCCTCTAGCTCTTGTTCCTCATCCTTGGGTGGTAAAAGTCAACTTTGCTGTGTACTCTTGAGAAGCCTCGAGTGACAATTATTGCAATTGTGACAAACCTTATCATGGCTTAAATATTTGAGCAGCAGTTCCACACTCTCCTAGGTATTCTTTCTGGTTGGTAAAGCTTGCCTATGAAGTATTTTATGCCTGACCCATTACAGGACTGCATGGCAGGTTGTGGAAATCCTCAGATAATTCCTGCTCCTCCCTTGGTGCATGGGAAAATTATCCAGCATTACTCGATTACCTTTCCCCTAGGGTTTTCTGCCCTGCTGTAGCCCATTAGACTATGACTGTATTGAGATCTCTTGACCCAACAGCTCTTCCCAGCTCTAAGCATAGATACCACCTTTTAAGGTGTGGTTGTCCAGCTGCAGGTCTCTCACCTTTGGAAAGAAACCTGGGGAAAAGATTTGGGTCAAAAGGGGCTCATAGCATATACAAGTCTTTGCACCAGATCTGGATGATCAGTAAGAACTCAGAGGTGTATTGTGGCATCCCCCTGTCCTGCAATGTGGATTAACAACAGATGGTGTAGCAAGGGGGTTGTGAGGCAGAGAAACCTGGCCTGTAACTCACACACTGCCCTCCACACATGAGGAAGGAGACAAAGTTTGCTCCCATCAGATTCCCTTGCTATGGTCTCCTAGGGGATAATGCAAGCACAAACAGGACAGTAATTCAGAGGGACAATTTATTCCCCCAACTCCAAAATCATCTTGGCCTTGCTGCTAAGACATCTGTTATGCCAGTAAATACCTTCAGGCCATCTCAAAAATAACAATTCCGCTCTCCTAGATCCCCAATATGTTGTGACATACAGACCCGCATACTGGTCCCACACCTGTGCCTAATCCTACTTAACTTATTTTTAAGGGATTCAGGGAGTGGAAATTAATATAGCCCAATCTTCTTGCTCTGGATGTAAAATGAACATGTCTTTATGGTGGCTATAAAAGATGATAAAAATCCTGTTATGACTTTCAGCTTATTTGTGTAGTACAGAGCTCTGGTTAAGGACAGACTGGAAAAGCATATGAGAAATACATAAATAACACTTTTGTCAAGGTATTCTTACAGGCCCCCTAAATACTGTCTTTTGACAGTCCTTTCACACACACTCCATTTCTGTTTGGTTGTTTTCTGAGACATCTCTTCACAGTCTAATTTCAGGCAAGCCATTTCACTTGTCAGCTTAGACTAGGATATGTTTCAAAGGTGATTCTCTTCAGGAGTTATTGAAGACTCTGATTCAACTTTATTGAATGATACAGTGAAATATTACCTGCCTTCCACTCTCAATGACTTATATGAGGGCTATTTTATCAGACAATTTGCCTGGGCACAATTCCAGTGCTCAGGTAGATGGGAAGTGAAGTTTCAGGCCTTTGAGTTGGTCTCATCTCTTACTGAATTGCCTCTTTAAAGCAGGATCCACTCTAAGTGGGAACTTAGTACTGAGAACTTTCAGGGCAAGGCCAGGTGGCCAAGAAGGCCAATGACATCCTGGCCTGTGTCAGCAATGGTGTGGCCAGCAGGATCAGGGCAGGGATTTGCCCTGTAATTGGCACTGGTGAGTTTACACCTCAAATCCTGTGTTCAGTTCTGGGCCCCTCACTGCAAGAAGGACATGGAGATGCTGGAGTGTGTCCAAAGAAGGACAACAGAGGTGGTGAAGGGTCTGGAGTACAAGTCCTGTGAGGAGTGGGGTTTAGCCTGTAGAAAAGGAGGTGCAGGGGAGACCTTATTGCTCTTTACAATTACTTGAAAAGAGGTTGTAGCCAGGGTGAAGATGGTCTTTTTTCACAGGTTACAAGAAATAGGACAAGAGGAAATGGCCTCAAGTTGTGCCAGAGGGAGTTTTAGATTGTATACAGGAAAAAATATTTCCACGGAAAGGGTTGTCAAGCACTGGAACAGGCTGCACAGAGAAGTGGTTGAGTCACCATCCCTGGACATATTTCAAAGATATGTAGATGTGACAATTGGGAACATGGCTTAGTGGTGGACTTGCCAGTCCTGGGTTAATGACTGGCTGATGATCTTAGAGGTCTTTTTCAGCCTAAGCAATTCTGTGATTCTAAGCCTGCATGCTGTATTATCTCCTTTCACCTTTGCAGGTTGCTGCCTCCAATGAGAAATCATGAACGCAGAATTGCCTATTATTAGCATTGTTTAATCTCCTTTTTGTTTAATTAAATTTCTCCTGAGCTTATCTCAATCCAGTCTAACATCAGGAAAACCTGCTAAATGTGCTGCTGCCTGCTTCATGTGTGTCTGAGGAACACATAACCTGCTTGGAGGACCTGCACATGTGCTTCTTAAGCTGTGTGGGTTATGGCACACAAATATATATTGGGTGTGTAGTGGGATGCTGCATGTGTTCAGAAACTGTTGATAGCCTTTGGAATTCTTATAACTGTTTATTCATTCTTTTGTTTAGGAGTCAGTGACCTGTAAGTGCTCATTATGAAGAGAGATCTGGTTTTCTTGGTGACTCTAATTAGCCTTGCCTTCCTGTCACTGCTAAGATCTGGATATCCTCAACACATTGCAGAGGAGTCCTGCTCTGTTCAGATTCTTGTTCCAGGCCTCAAAGGTAATGTGAAAGCCTACTCTATTATTCAAATATTAATCTTTTAGTTCTAATAGGCTTATTTGCATAACTGACAGTTTTAACAGTGACAAAGAAGGTGCCTCTCAGCTGTCCTCTTATTTGCCCCTGTTTAAATGCCTCCTTAAAAATGGAATTTTAAGGTCCATTAAGTGAAATTAAATGGTTCAGAAAATGCATGCCAGTTTCCCAGATTTGCTCGTGATCACTAGTGCTTGTTACTCTTCTACATCGTCTGGTTGCTCTCTCTGTGTTTATACTGAGCAGTGGTACACATACCCCAAAACTGTAAAAGCAGGCACTACTTTATACCTGGAGAGGTTTTCATTTCCATTTTGCAATGTAATCGGAATTATTTTGTGTTTTCTTGACTTTTGTTTGTCTTCTTTTGATTTTTTTAAAAGCTCAAATACCTCGTAGAAGAAAGCAAACATTTGTTAGGTTTTTGGCATTTCTATAGCTTTTGTGGGAAAAGGCAACTTTTTTACAGAATATGCCCCCAAACTCTTGCCCAAAGAAGATGGTGTAATAAATTATTGGTCTTCTCATAGGAAAAAATATATCTTGCACAAGAAATCAACCACTGGGAAGAATTAACATTTTAAAGCAATAGCATCTATTATGGTTGTTGAAATCCCAGCCCTGTTTAGTCAATAACAATAATTCCCGTTGTGGATGCTATGACATTTTTGTTGAAATATAACACTTCTGAACATGGGGAAATACGTTTTAACTGAGGGCAAAGAAACCCCATGAAAACCACCAGTTTATCATCAACAATAAAACAACAACAACAACAAAAAAAGTGTAAGAACCACACAACAAACCTTTCAGTTTTCCTTGCAATTATGCCTTGTAGTGTCACAAAACCCATCTAACCAGAACTGGTGCCATTAATCTTATCTGTACAAATCTGGGCTTTCCCGAATTGCCTGAGGGCAAAGTGTGGACTGCAGGCATTGTCTGTTCTGGGTGACTGATGGGAAGGGTGAGGCTCAGTTCTGTTCCACAGTTGCTCACACAGCTAAATGCGAGCCCAGCTGGGCCATGGGTTTGAGGTGTAAACTGCCCTCTCCAGACATTGCCCAATTTGTGTGTGGCTGCCCTCTGCTTGAGGCAAGAGAGCTGGGCTACAGGGATGCGGGCTGGGCTTGGCCAATTTTTAAAAATTTTATTTTAAAATAAACATATTTAAGAATATGATTATTTTAAAATATTTATTATTGTTTTGCATGCTATTATTATTATCATCATCATCATTAATGGCGCTTTAGATGCCTGAACTCAACCAAAAGCTATTTTTTTCTATTTACTTCAATATGTGGCTTTGATCTTAATACTATTTAGACCTTCTGCAGATGTTCTAGTTAGAAAGAACAGCACTTTATCCAGACCTTCTGAGGTTTGACTAAGGCTTGGGCAAAACTGTTTAATTTGTTTGATATATTTACTGTGTAAGAGGCATAAGATAGTGCTGTTAATGTGATCAACAGAGGAGAACACAACCAAGTTATATTGTCCAAATTTGCATGAAAGATCAGCCAAAAGGTCAGATCCACAGCCCTAAGCTTTGAAAATATTTTTCATATCAAAGAAGTTGACAGGATGAGTTTTGTGACTTCTTTGCATTGGTTTCCTTATTTGTGTAATCGGTCAAAATTAGCATCCATGATTATCATTTTAATGCAAGAATCATTATTGTCATTAATAATAATGATCCTTGCATTAAAAGATCCTTGCAGCAGAGGCTTTTAGGGTGTGTAAACTGTTCAGGACCCTTTGGCAGAAGACAATTCTGAGCCTGGAAACCAGAGAGAGGCCTGAAAACCACTGTGTGTTAATGATTTCACTCAGTTTCATAAGATATAAGCCTTGCAAAATTGAGAGAGATTGATGTACAAATTCAGTGAAGCACAAAATGCCTGATACAGACCTAGTTAATGTAAAATCCCTAAAAAGCTTTCAATGCTCCAACTATGCTGTCAGGGGGACTCAGATGTGGTGATGAGATACTGCTGTCCCCCACTGGCACAACTCCAACACGTTTCACTGGCCAAGCCTTCCTTTAAACTGAGCACACGTGTGGCCACATGCCCAAATTTCAGCTCCTGTGCAGCAGGATTTGCTCACTGCAGCTTTTAGATCTGCACATTCTCCTCCTCTGCTGGGCTGCCAGCAACATCTCCAGTGGTGGAGAAACAGAGTGCCACATTGCTGCTGGGCATGGCTCTGTCAGAATTTGGGTAAAACAGGTAGAAGGGAAAAATGCAAGAAATTAGGGAGACCATGGGATATGTGAATGGCAGAGGACAGACACTTAAAAGGTGGTGCAAAAAGTGGAGCCCAAATGGGGTGATGAAGGAGAAAGTCATCAGGGAAAAGTATGCAAAAACAGGGGATCATAAAGGAGGAATTTTTGAAGAACAAAAAGAGAAAATAGGGAAAAAACAAAGAAATAAGAGCTCTAGAATGAGACTCAGTGGAGAGACTGGAAGCTAAATAAATGTAAAATGACACAAAATCAATTAAGATCCCACAGAGTAAAAGAGGATATCAGAAGGGGCATGATATGAGAATGGAGGTGGAAATGGATGTGGAAGAACGCCAGTAAAGACATCAAGAATAGAAGAAGCGCAAATGAGATGAAGGTTGGCAGCTTAGGTCTTAGGGACTGTTTTTGGTGGTTTGCAGTGGTTTGGGTTGAGGGTTTTTTTTTGTATGTTTGGGACATTTTTGTTTTGTTTTGATTTTTTTGTGTGGATTTTTTGGCTTATTTGTTTGTCTTTTGTAGTTATTTTTGTGGGTTATTTTAGGTGGGCAGGTTTTGGTGGGTTGGTTATATTTTTATATATATTATATATATATTATATATATATGTATAAAGGAGTAAAATGAAAAGTGAAAAGCCATGGCTCTGAGAATGCAGACAGCAGACCAAACCATGTTTTAGAAGCTAGCAATAATAATAATAAGAAAAGTGTGCTGTGTGTGAAAAAGCAATGGATGATGAAGCCTCACTACACAGCTCACTCATATTCTTCCTGAAGTCCAGTTTCTTTTTATAGGCACATGAAATTGAAGTTATTACTGTTGTTTTATATTTTTTTTTCTGCACAATCTTTCAAAGCTTAAATTCTCAGTTTGCCATCTTGTTTTGTCTCCCTTCTAGAGTAGGAGTTGCCTTAATAGTCGCAATGACGTTCAGTACATAAAAAAGTAGATGCTACGTTAAAATAAAATTTTTTTACACCCACACTTGATGCATCTACTCACACAGGGAATATGAGTAATGGAAAGAAGTCATCACCAGCCAGGAATGATTAATACCTCACATAGTTAATATTTGGTATACTATTTTCATTGCACATTGTAGATGGTACAGTTTATGGTAGGAAGTTGCAAATATAAACATAGACAAATCCTGTCCCAAAGAATTCATAAAAGGAGGCAAATCAACAGCAGTTTTAGGATATATCACCTGAATTAAGAAAGATCTCTCCCAGAGATGATGTAGGAAGAACTTGTAGTAGTGTCAGGGCCTGATACCCATAATCCTACCACAGCTCATTTTGGTGACAGGGTAAATTTCTTCTAGGAGAATGGGGCATCTCAACATTGTGGAGCATTACGAGCTACATCGCACCCTGTCTCAGCTGCATAGGCAGTGCTGAATTGTGCTGACAAAGAAAGTTCTGTTTCATGCAGTGGGGCTGAACAAATACCCAGGAAGGGATGGAGAGGAAACTGAGCAAGAGGTGCAAGTGCTAAGGGGCTGTGGTTGGTGCAAGAGGCCACAACAGATCAGTTGGGTAGGGACCATAATGCACAGATCCCAGCCTCCTGTTCTGAAGGGACCTGGCTGTACTGAGGGACTGGAGACCAGAAAGGAGACACAGGGGTGTCTTTCTTTATCACAAATCAATAAGTTAAAATTATTGTTTATTGGTGAAAAATTAAATTGATTGAAATTTCTTGACAGAAAACTGTTTTGTTGCTCATAACACCTGCACAGGCTTTACTTCCTAAATTTGCACAATGGTCAGGGTGCAAACAGCAAGAATAGGGACTTACACAAGGCAAAGCTGAGCTGTACTACTGATCGGCCCCTCTTGGCCAAGGTCTTGCTCCTCAAAACAGCTGATAAGAAAAAGCTGTCGACTGGTCTGTAGCTGGGCCTGTAATGGAGTAATCTCCTCCTGGAGAAAGTTTTTAGAACACCCACACTAAGAATGTGGTGTCATCGTATTATCAGAATAAATGCAGGCAAGTGTAATGGCCTGAAGCAAGAGTGATCTATTTTATTGATCCCTAATGCACAGCTCTCACTCTGAAGAACGTGTAAAGCAATAGGCTGTAATAGCCTGCTCTCAGCCTCCAGAGAGCAAGGAAAAGTCATTGTCAGGATTTATCTTTGGGGAAGCAAAGAACTCATAACCAGCCCTGAGGGGTGAAAGACAATCATACAAAGCCTATTGGTTACTTGATAATAAAAATGCGACATTCCCAAATGTGCCAAATTATAGCCTGTTTCATACTAACAATATTATTCACTAGGGATTATGTGAAGTTTGTCCTCATTAAGGTCGGAGAATGGCCTATTTTTGCATGTCTGAAGGCAGGGAAGATGGTCTGGAGCAGCCTGAAGAATGAAAATATAACAGATGGAGGGCTGAGCTCAGCTCACAGGCACCTAGGTCTACAATAAAGAGAGCTGGAGGCTGCATATTTGAAATGTGCCGTGGTGTGACATGTTTTTACATGTTATCTCTGTGACTCCTCTCTGAACCAGCTGCCAGCTATCTCAGAGAGCTGGGCTTGTGAGGTGCATTGACTTTCCTGCTGTGGTGCTCCCATCAGCTTCCTGGAGGGCAGCTAGTGCTCACTCTCCTCCATAGAAATACAGAGTTGGGACATCATATTTGCTGTGCTAAGTCTGAAATTTAAATACCACCACTTTATTTTCTGTGGAAGTGATAAAATTTTCTTCTCCTTCATCATATAAATCCTGTTTTGTCACAGTGGCTGTATAAATCATTGTTTATACTTCTGTTTGTCAGAGATCTTAATTTTATGTCAATGGAAGATTGCAGTAGTAGTACAGTTGTGGGGGGCAAAACAAGCTAAGCATCCCCAAATTTTTAATGAAAGGCACCAAGGAGGCAAACACTTTTTACAGAAAGTGATGTTTAAATATGCTGAATATAATGATGCACCACGAGTTTCATGCATGTAAATATACTACATAGTGGTTCATACCTCAGAGATTAAAACTATATAACTGAGGATATGGAGTAAGGAGTTTATGCTTCTATGTTTAAAAATGGTCCTCTAATTATGGAGGTAGCAGTGCCTTCTTATAGGTCTCAAAAATGGCTTTTTTTTTTTCTGTTAATTTGAGGTCGTAGTTAAGCCATTGACTTAAATAGATAAGCCGTTTTCACTTAAGACTTAACTTGTCTTAGCAGAGGCTCAGAAAGAGTTTGGTGAACACAGAAATTTATGTGCTAAGTTGGGGTCTAATTCTGAAGCTTCTACTTAAGTGAGTTGTGCTGTTGGCTTTTTGGAGGTCAGTGATTTGAGTAACATCCACACAACTAGACCTGTTGTATAAAACTTCAGTAATGCCTTGACAAAGTTTACCAGTGTCTACATCAATTGAAGAAAAATCTGTTTTGTCCATCAAGTAAAGCTATTAAAATCAGATCACATCTGCTTCTGTTTTTTTCACTGGAGAGAATGGCATTCTTGTCACTCTGCCAACAGAAAATAGTCCTGGTTTAATATGATTCTTCTTTTTGTTTACTTTTTTAATCTACAGGGGAGGCAGGAGAAAAGGGGGAGAAAGGTGCTCCAGGTCGTCCAGGCAGAGTTGGACCTCCAGGAGAAAAAGGTAACTTTGATAAAGGTGTCTTGAAAGTCATTCCTGAGAAAATGCTGCTTTTTCTTGTGAGATGATGATGATGATGGGGATCCTTGCTCCCTTATCTGGGTGACTAATTCTTCCTTAGGCATTTCTGTTTACTGCTGTCGTGGTTTAACCCCAGCCAGTAGCTCAGACCCATGTAGCCACTCACATCTCCTGGTTTGGATGGGGGAGAGAATTAGAAGGGTGAAAGTGGGAAAACCCATGGGTTGAGATAAAGACAGTTTAATAGGGAAAGCAAAGGCCACATGCACACAAGTGAAGCATAACAAGGAATTAATTCAGTGCTTCCCAAAGGCAGGCAGGTGTTCAGCCATGCCCAGGAGAGCAGGGCCCATCACACAACAGTAACTTGAGAAGACAAACACCATCATTCCAAATGCCCTCGATTCTTCCTTCTTACCCCAGCTTTAATACTGAGCAGAATGCCATAGGTTAGGGAATTTCCCTTGGGTCAGTTGGGATCAGCTGTCCTGGCTGTGTCCCCTCCCAGCTTCTTCTGTACCCCCTCCTCGCTGGTGGGGTGGGGTGATGAGCAGAAAATGCCTTAAGCCTGTGCAAGCACTGTTCAGCAATAATGAATATGTTTGTGTGTTATCAACATTGCTTTGGTCACAAATCTCAAATATAAAGAAAGTTATATGTGAAGAAAGGCATCATAATGTTTCCTTCATAATTTGCCTGCTGCAAATGAAAACCTCTTATTAGATCAGAGGGAAAAAATTCACAAGGCTCGATTTTCTTTTTTTCTTTTTTCTGGTGAATTTGATCACTCAAAATATCTTAATTAAAACCATTGAGGGAAGTCAGTAGGCCATAATAGGCAAAGATGAACATGAGTGTTCCCACATTTTTTGGATATGGGAAAATGGTGATAAATTTGTTTGCATTGTAATTCAAAAATATTTTGAGCTCTTGAGAGAAACAGTGCTCAGCAGTGTTCAGTTATGCAGCTGAGAGAAGGCACAGCATTTCTGTCTTGCAGGAAATTCTGTCTTTTCACATTTGTTTTCCTCCTGAAAACAAATTTGACCTTCATAAGTTTTCTGGGAGGTTTGTGTTCTCTTAGGTTCAAATTAGGAGTCGTCGAATCCTTTGATTTCAATATTGAAAGTAAAGATTGACATTCCTGTCGTTAGAAGGTTGGAGTTAGTTTTTGCTGAACTGAGTTGACAATCTTTCTTTCAAAGCAATTGTAGTGATAATTTATACTTCCTTAGGATGATGCACGATCCATTATATTGTTCTTTTAGGCACTTTTGGAAGTCTGATACTGATTACCCTGGGACCAAAATCCATAGCTAGAGCTCTTCCTCCTACAATGCATTGAAAAATTCATAACTTCCATGAGGTGTGTGTGTCCAGTCAGTGTATTTCTCTTATGTAAATGCACTTTCAAGGATGACTCTTTGTAAAAAAATATTGGAAAATAAAAATTCCGCTCTTGCAAAGCAATGGAGCATGAAGTGAAGTATGATGGAATAATTTAGGTTAAAAGGTTGTAAAGAGCTCATCTAGTCCAATCTCTGACTTCAAACAGGGCAAACTTCAATATCAGAGGAGGTTTCTCGGGGCCCTATCCAGTAGACTTTTGAAAATCTCCAAGGATGGAGATTCCACATACATTTTGATCAGTCTATTTCACTGGTATAATCATGAAAGACCTGTTGTACCTTGTAATCTTTGCATTTTGCCCTTTCTCTGTGTGTCTCTGAGAAGAAAACGCTACATCTTCTCTAGAAACTGCTTGTAAGTAGTGGAAGACTGCAATTAAGTTCCTCCTTACCTTTCTGTATTCCAAGCTAAATAAAACCATCTTCTTCAGCTGGATTTCGGTTTCCTTCTCATGTATGAGGGCCCAAAAATCTCTGGATCCTCTTAGGCAAAGTAGTTTTTTTTACCCAGCCATTGGCCAGACTTCATCAAAGCATCACAGGTGAGGAACTTAGGATCTTGCTGAACCCATGATATTCCTGTCCACACATTCCTGCAGCTTGTTGAGCTCCTCCTGACTGGCAGGGCCATCCTCCAATGCACCAACTGTTCCTGCCAGCGTGGAGCATCTTCTACTTCTTCCTCCCTCTCCTCCCTAATGAGTGAAGGACTCATTAGCAGCTGCTGGTTAGACTTTGGCAGCCTTGCAGCAGCACCAGCTAGCCCTCTCAGCCCCCTTGGATGCCTTGTGGGCAGGACTATGGGCTCATGTACCTCCAGGTGTAGTCCCTCACTCAATTGTCAGCTGCCAGGAGTAGCTTGTCCTCCCCAGATCTTTGCTACCAGACATGCAGAACTGGGAGAGCAGACCTTGCCAGCAGAGACAAAGGCAAAGAAAGCACTAAGTGCCTTCTCTGTGTCCTTCAGCATGAGGTTGTCTTGACAACTTCTTGAGAAACCCTCTCATCACGCTGTCCTGCATGCTTCTCTGTCTTGGCATTTCATCATGTCACTTCAAAATGCTTTGGACCACCTAAGGACCATTCCACACTCTTTTTCATCCATGATGTAGCATTTCATTTATCTATTTTATACTGCAAAATTGCATTTGTTTGGAAAATAGCTCTCATAAGGTATGCTTGATAAATGCTAATAACAGTGGTAATTTTCTAGTTTTTCATATCTGCAAAAGTCAAAAATTCTGATTAGACTGAAAGAAGAAACACTGAAGTGGAAACACTGCAAGAAAACATAAATTAAACAGAAAAGAGATTTTAAAAAATTGAATATTAATGCATACTGTATTGGAATTTTTCCAGGTGGTACTTTCAACTAAACACAGGCAAAATTTCTTATTACTTCTATAGCAACATATTTTTCTGTTTTTCTTTTTGCATCCTGAAATTTCTACAAACAAGCTCTTGTTTAAAGTAAGTTCTAATTAACTAGTCTTTTCATTAATGCTGTACATTTTGTAGATATTTGTCTTCAGCAACTCCTTTCCACAAGTGCTTCATCAAAGAAAAAACACAGATACCTTAAGAACAATTTGGACTATATGACATCACTTTTCATCATGGTACTATTCCAGTATACTTTGAATGTCACAGTGTTGACTGGATAAGCAAACAGACTTCACAGATGTAATTTCTAGTCTGTGGAAAGGACACAGAAGAATATCCAGCCTTGAACTGGAAAAACCTTTCAGTCTCTGGTTAACCTCTACAGACCGTATGTAGTATACAGACTTGTAAATTCATGCATAAATACTTTTCTATACTCTCAAGCAGCATGAGACTGAGTATATTCTCTTCCAGCAGACTAAGGATTTTCCTATTTCTTATCCAGAAGATGGAACATTCTGATAAAAATAAAATATAACAACATGTTTGGCAAAAATCACTTCACTTTGCATTTACCCCTAAAAACACCCACGGACAGCAACCCTGCTTCTATGCAGTAGCCTATTGAATTTCAGTCAGTGTGTTAGCATGTGTTCAACCCCTTGTATTTCTCTTGAAGCCTGATAATTTTTGTCTTGGTCTAATATTTGGCTCCTTCTGTTGATGAAAGCTGCTAAATTTCATTTTATTTTTCTCCTCTTTAAGTAAGTGATGGTTTACATGAGGGAGAAACTAATCTTTCTGCAACATTTGTAGAGTTTTCTAATTTTGATCTTAATTTACATTATCAAACTCACACTAATCTCTTTTATTTTTTTTTCTTTCCCCTTTCTTTGTTTCATTTTTTTCTAGCAAGATCATGTTCAAGAAAATATGTTTAGTTTCTTTGAACTTCATAGGTGTATAATAACCATAGAATAGCTTACAAAAGAAACTATCTTCTTATGGCATATTTGACCTGAACAGCTCAAGATCAGAAAGTTCTGTAAATGCTTTTATCATATCCTTTCCTCATGGTATGTTCAGATTTGGAAACTCAGAAAAATTAAAAATTAAAACTTTCTGGTGCTTACCTGAAATAAATCTTGTTCTGGCTGTTCTGATGCTTCAGGGTGACATCAGAAATACTGATGTCTTTGGGTGCTGATTAAGGTTAAATTCCACTTACTTTCCTCATTGCTTTTAATTAATTGTATAGGTCAATTATGACGCATAGCATGTCAGCAGAATATAAAACTGTGTTGGCCTTATGTAAAGCACAGAGCACTGGGTCAAGTACAATGGCAGTTTCAGATGAAAGCAGTGTGTACTGCAGTGCACATTTTGGGCTGTGAAGTTCACAGAATTAACTTTCCCCACTTGCACTGATGGCTGTACTGTGCTCTCCCATGTTGGGAGTAAACTCAGTTATTTAACTGAGTCCTGGTGCAGTCTGTGAGGCTGTAACTTCCATGTTTTCAAATTCCACACAAATAGTTCAGTAACAATACTGTCCTGTGAATATTCCCAGAGTGCCTTATAGTAATCAAAATAAGGAGGGCAAAGTGGATTTACACTTGGAATATAACATCAAAGGAATAGAACATTAAAAATACGTTCTTCAAGATATTTCAATTTTCTTAGCCCCATAACCATTTAAAATGTATATTATTTTAATATTTCAATTTCAGCCTTTATACATTGTACTTAATTTATATACAACTACAATGATATGTGCTAAAAGAGTCACTAGCTGTTCTTGGGCTTGGAATTCAACTGTCTCTACCTTTGCAGTGTTAGCACAGTGATTTTGGCTTTTGACAACTAGCACTTTCTCAGGCAATTCTTGGGTATATTTTGGGAGCTAACACAAAGAGCAGCTTGCAAGATTATCCTAGCTTGAAGAGTAAGACAATTTAGAATCATGGAGTGTCCCATTCTTGACTACCTGGTACCCATTTCCAGGGAATAGTCCCGGGCATTTAGTTTACTAATACAAGCACAGCCTCTTAAGTAGAAGAGAAGACTCATTAATTTAACTGGATTAGAGCCAGAGTGCTCAGTCATTTGTATAATCAAATTCTAAAAAGAGGTAATAATATCTTAATTTATATTTTATTATTACTGATTGCTCATTAATATGTAATCAATCAATCCTTTGCATTTCTGAGTCAATTTCTACATGACTTTATTGCTCGCTAAGGAGTGCTGCAGGCAGTATTCCATATAAAAGTCCTGACATTGACAGCTGTGAATTCACAAAGGGGGTATCTGGTTCAAAACTGTCTTTCAGTTTCACCTGAACTCAATAGGATTTTGAGAAAATCCTGCTAAACTGAGTGGACAAAAAGGTGGCAGATGGGCTTCAATGTAAATAAATATATTGCCTAGGGAAATTAGGGATGCATGATTTAATCCATACTTAAATGATGCCAAAACCCCAAACTGTCACTTAAAACTCAAGGACTGCTCTGAAGTCATTAGCAAGAGTCCCAAGGCCAACAGACCACTGCTCATCATCACAAAAGGATGGCAAAAGGACAAAGGACAAAACAGGAAGCTTCTTTTTGCAGCTGATATTGTTCTGTACAAAAGCCTGACATGCACTGTCTCAAGAATGTTCTTCTGGCCTCTGTCTCTCAAGAAGGACTTGAGAGGTGACAGATAGGAAACAAAAATGTGAAAAAGAGGGGCTGCCTCATAAGGAGAAACTGGACAGACTGAGACTCTTACATTTGTACAGAGTACTCTGAGGAGGTTATAATCAAGATTACAGAATCACCAGATGCCATCATACCTGAGTTTGGAGGCACTCTCTGAAGCTGCTGGGAACAGATCCAGCAATTCCACCTGCAGATAGTGGCTGTGGTTGTGGGGTCTTCCCATACTGCACCTTCTGCTGCCACCACAGGAAACAAAGTCTTGGGCTAGAGGGACCACTGGTTTGAAGAAGTTTGGTATTGTATTGTTAACATAGTTCTAGCAAGACAGTATTTCATGAGGGCAGTTATTTTTCTTTGCCTGCCTCCAAATAGAAACTCATCCATTCAGGAATGTACCATACTATTTTCATTTTTGTTTTTAATGTACTTTTAAATCCTTTAAAGTTTTCTGCTGCCTTCCTTGATTGGATGTTTTCTCACTAGCTTTAGTTTCCTTTGCAAATTTTCCAAGTATTCTAATTTATAGTTAGTATAGATTGATAATAGTTTACTCTTTTTTTTCCCTCCTGTTTGTTATGCAAGGCTTTAAAAATTTCAGTTTATCATTGTGATACCTGTCTAACACGAATGGGATGGATCACTACTGAGAGGTGTTTATTTTTCCATTGCCTACCGTGGGAGTTAAATAAACATCTTAGACTAAAAACCCTAACTTTAAGATGGTTAATGCTGGGTGAAATTGATTTGCCCCAGCTATATGAAATGCCTCCTGTGATTATGCACTGTTCATTCATATAAGAGTATCTGTTTAACATTGTTGGTGACACAGATGCTGGGATCGATTGCACCCTCAGCAAGTTTGCCAACACCACCAAGCCATGTGGCACGGGCAACATACACTGGAGGGAAGGAATTCCCCCCAGAGGGACCTGGACAGGCTTGAGGTGGGCCCGTGAAGACGAACTGCAAGGTCCTGCACCTGGGTTGGGACAATCCCAAGCACAAATACAGCCTGGGAAGAGAATGGATTGAGAGCAGCCTGGAGGCAAAGAACACGGAGTTGTTGGTTGAAGAGAAGCTCAACATGAGCCAGCCACGTGCCCTTGCAGCCCAGAAATCCAACCACAGCCTGGGCTGCATCAACAGCAGCGTGGGCAGCAGGTTGAGGAAAGTGATTCTCCTACTCTGCTCTCATGGGAAGCCTGGCTAGAGTGCTACATACAGCTCTGGGGCCCTCAGCATGAAATGGACTTGGGCCTTCTGGAGGAAGTCCAGAGGAGGGCCACAAAAATGGTCAGAGGGTTGGGACACCTCTGCCTTGAAAACAGCCTAAGAGTTTGGCTTCTTCAACATGCAGAAGAGAAGATTCCAGGGAGACCTTAGAGCATCTTCCAGTAAAGAGGACCTACAAGAAAGCTGGAAAGGGACTGTTTACAAGGGCGTGTAACAATAGGACAAGGAAGAATGGCTTTAAATTGAAAGAGGGCAGATTTAGATTAGATATAAGGAAGAAATTCTTTACTGTGAGTTTGGAGAGATGCTGGAACAAGTTTTCCAGAGAAACTATCTCCATCCCTCAAAGAGTGTTCAAGGCCATGTTGGATGGAGCCCTGAGTAACCTGGTCTAGTGGAAGGTGTCCCTGACTATGGAAGGGAGTTGGTACTAGATGATCTTTAAGGTTGCCTCCTACCCAGCCCATTTCATGATTCTATGATACGATGTAACTTATTGTAGCCACTGTTCCCACACCAATCACTGACCTTCCCTGGTGTGGATAATTCAGATTTTTCAATGTAAAGCAGTTCTGTAGCCTGTTGACATATTTGAAATTTTCTGATTTCCATTTGCCAATAGTTTGTTTTTTTTTTTTTTTTTTTTAAATGAAGTGTCCTGAATGTAGATTACTACTATAGCATCATTATATCCTTTAAAAATATCATTCTCATTCAAGTCAGGCTAGCTATTTGCATTGGGAATGCTGACTGCTGCAAGACTATAGAGGTGCACTGGGGGAAAGGCTTTTTAATCTTCATCTATATCTTATGTTCTTTTTCTAAGTATCCTCTGCAGATTGCTGTCAAAGATGGCACTAGATTCAAGAGGCCTTTGGTGTGGTTTGGTACACTTCTACTTTCCTTGTTTGGTAGGTGTCTGTTATGTCCTCTATGTCAAATCATGAATTTGATTTGATTTGTCTTAAAATCCTTAAGTTTTTGACGAAAACTACTGCTCTCTTCTTTATAACATGACTCAATTAAATTTGTCTGTGTCGTGGTGAATTTGCATTTTGGCTAGATTTGTCTTTTTGATGCCTTTTTCTGTTTCTAGGTAGTTTCATACCTTCTTGTCTATTCCAACTAATCCTGAAGAGATTACCCATACTCTTTGAACCCAATTTATAGTAATGCACAGAGTCAACCTGCCCCCCCTTTTTTTCACTTGTTTTGCAGCCCACCATTCATCTCTGGAATTTTATTTCTTCACTTGTTTGTAGGCCTGAAAAAGCCACCAAGAAGATAATTTAGAATTTCCTTCCCTTCAGTTCCTTACCAAATCCTTTAAATCTTCTATAATTGGTTTCAGTGTATGCCAACTTCATCTGAGAGATGACAGATGACTTTCTTCAGTTCTCTATTCACTCTTTGTGTTTGATTTCCTATTTTTGGTCTATGGAGACTTAATTTCTTTTATTGTCCCCATTTCTTTCCAGCTTTCACTTCCTTATTTCATTAAGACTCCTCAGACTGCATTTTTGACAACCATAGGGCCACTAAAAAGGGCTTTACAAAAGGTATTAAAATTTTTGAAACCCTCAAGGCAGATGGGTGTCTCTTGAAACTTTGTGATTTATTCTGCAGAAGAAGCAGAATAAGCAAGCCCCTGAAGTGGAAGCAGGGGTTAGTCACTGTAAGAAAAACTTAAATGGGAACAATTCTTTTAATGAGGAAAGGAGATTTAATGTATGTCTTCATTGCTTGAGATAACAACCTTCCTTTTACTTCTGAGCAGAGCACATAGGTTTTACTGGCTGTGACTGAGAACGAGTTCATTTTCTGGGCAGTTTCTATGAGAAAGAAAGTTAAATTATTTTATTTTATTTTATTTATGCATTAGATCAATTTTATTTAATTTCAGGTGTAGCAGCATGAAAAGAGAAAGCACTCAAACATCTCATAATCTGTAATGGTAATCCCAATTCATTAATATACAAAGCAAGAGACATCATTTTCAGAGCAACTTGATAAACTGATTACAAGCTGGTACTTCCAAAAGGAATAGATAAGAGAAAAATATTTTTGGTTTCTGGTGAAAGACTGTGTCTAGTAGTGTCTGAATTTGATACTTATTAGAAACAAAGGAAAAATCATTGATTGTAGGACTTGCCAATAATTAATTAGACCAACAAACCACATGCATTTAGCTTCTCTCAGTTCGGAGGAAATTGTTTCTTTCTGGCTCATGCCATCAATGACAAGGGTTGCTTGAGACTTCATGGAGTAATAGAGGTAACATCTCTTAACCCAGCAATGATCAGTTTATATTCTGAAACTTGTTATTGATTTAACTTTTAAGTTAAAGGTAATGATTACAAAATGGGTCATAAAATTATCCAGCTTTCAAAAATATGTATATCTGTCCAGCTGCATAGCAACAAGGGGCAACAGATCTTCTGTTGTCGTAGATCCACAACTGAGTCTGAGCTATGACAGTTTGCACAAGTCCATTTGCTGGATCCTTATGGTAGTTTTTCCTCCTAGCTTGTCTCATTGATTCCTTGCACCTGTGTAGTCGACCTGTGCATAGCAGACGTTGCTTTCAGCAAAGAAGCAATCTTTTCAACCGTCATTGAAAACAACTTCATAAATATTTCCTAAAGCAGTCTTGGGCTTGGATTTCTGTAAGATGGGAACCTTAGAAGGCTTTCATCCCTGTAGTCCCTCCATACCCCCTCTCCTTTCGTAGTGTGGTACAGAGGGAAACCTATCTCTTATGACAGTATTTATATTGCATAAATGAGTCCTTAAGCCCAAAGCCAGCCCTCAGTTACAGTGGAGTCACTGTCTGAGATGAAATATCAGTTGTGCTTGGATCCTTTATGTCTTCTCAACTCCATAATCCATGTTTGAATGCAACAATCCTCTGTATTTGCAGCATAATTGTCATGATTAGCTGAAAAAAGTTTGCAAAAGCTTTTCCAGTGGTTTTCAGCCAAGAGTTGTTGACAATTACACCTTCATGCCTTGTTAATGTCAATTGTTTAGCAAAGATAAAATCACTGTCTAGATTGCTATATGTAAGTTCTTCACAAGGATTGAGATAGATCTCTGGAGTTCAGTGAATATTTGGGATATAGCATGGTTTTGTTCATTGTAAAAACTGATATTTCAAACGCAGCAGAATCAGAATGAATCAGACTACATTGCTACCTTGTGTCTTTCATCCCTCTGTTATGTATAGGAGAAATGGGTGACAAAGGACAGAAAGGCAGCATAGGACGGCATGGAAAAATTGGTCCTATTGGTTCAAAAGGTATGTTTAATTCAATTGTTTCTCCATTTGTGTTTCAGGTGAAAAATGTGTGTTTGAGAACATACATTTATGTTTGAGAAAAGTTTAGGGGCTTGAAAAATGGCTGACTTACCTTAGTATGAATTTTCTCACACTGTAGTCAGCCAGGTCACTGAGATCTCTCAACCAGTTACCTTTTGCTGTGACAAAAGTATATTTATTCTTAAAGCACTGTGAGTATCCTGATTTGAGGGTAAATAAAGAACTTTGCACTATCACACAAGTGTGGACGGTTAAAGCAGTGGGAAGATGTGATGTACTTTTGCAGATTTTGAAGAGTCAGAAGATGTGTTTTCTTATGTTGACTACTCCATAGGCTTCCTATGTGACTTTGGTTAGGTCATTTGGACCAGTCTTTACCTAATCATCTAGATTATGATTCGAAATTTAGGTATATCCAGCCCTTTGCCTTCTACAGCATCTGAATTTACTGCTTCTGTAGGCAGAGGCAGATATTGGTACATATTATTTGGGTTCAAGTTTCATAGCTTTGGTTGGCCTTTGGTGTGGAATGACTAGGATGGAAAAATCTTAATTTTTGCTTGGGCATATTTCTAGTTTCCACATTTGAATTTTACTAGAGAAAAAAATAGATAAGTGCTAAATGGACTATTGACAGAAAAGGCTGCATTAACATTATGTTGTTTTTCGTGTCTTCAGGTGAAAAAGGAGATAATGGTGACATAGGACCACCAGGTCCTAATGGTGACCCAGGTAATCCATAACACCACTTGTTTATGTGAAAGACTTTTCATCATTAAAAATGCATCTGTTTATATACTGGGGGAAATAATAGATAATTTTTTTCATAGATACTGTAATATTTCACTGTGATATTTTTAAATTACTTAAAATGATTGAAGTTGCAGCGGTTGCTGGACTTGTATTGTATGTGCTAAAACAGTATCTCATACTTTGTCAGAGGAGTAATCTCTCCAGAAGTCTAGTGGGAAGTGAAGTCAAACTGTCTGTATCATTCATCACCAGGGCAAAGGGATATCTCTGCATACTCACTTTGCCTTCCATGCCCCTTCATGGATTATGGTTATAGGAGCAGGAGATTGTCAAGAATGCAGATCACAGAATGGGTGAGCTTGGAAAGGACCACATTGGGTCACCTGGTGTAACCTCTGCTCAAGCAGGGTAATGCCAGAGCACATGGCTCAGGATTGTGTCCAGACAGTTCTAGATTATCTCCAGTGAGGGAGGCTCCACAGACTCTCTGGGCAATCTGTTCCAGTGCTCAGTCACCCACACAGTAAAGAAGTTCTTCCTCATGATCAGGAGGAACATCCTGTGCTTCAGTTTCTGCCCATTGCCTCTTGTCTTACTACCTGGCACCACCAAGCAGAGCCTGGCTTGGTCTTCTTGTCAGCCCCTCCTCATATTCTTATATGGAGGGATATGGATCTTCCAGAAATATACAGATGTTCTAGAGAAACAGCCTAGCATAAGAAGTGCAAGCCTTGCAAGAGTGGCAGGTTTGGATTTGTCTGAATTCATCCCTTCCTGGCAGAGTGCATTGGAGGTGCACAGATTAGATTTCTCATGAATAATAATAATAACAACTTGTCTCTCTAATTCCTAAGCCTGCATACCATGCACCTGGCCAGCATGCCGAGTTTTGCAGGGCAAGTACCTTGTGCTTTGACTGACTTACAAAACTGAGCTGAGTAATTGGTAGTCCAATGCAGATTTTAATAATTACATACAGAACTGCAAACTGAATAAATGCAAATGGTAATTGATGCTCGTTTTGAGATTTGTGGTCAGAGATGTGACAATTACCCTTTTAGTACTCACATTCAGATTATCTTTGTCAAACTGAGACCAATTAGGGTTAATAGATGATTTTCTATTGTCTAATTTTATTGTCAGAAGAATTGTAAATTGTGTACTTTCAAAAACACAGAACTGCATTTTGCAGGTAATTATGTGCATTATGTGGTTGGAATTTTGGATCTGCTGTGATATGTTCCTTGGGAAAAACTTGCGAACGTTTTTTGCTGTGAAAGAAGTCTTTGAGAAAACTAAAGAAAATAATTTTTCTGAAAGTGGGAACTTTTGGAAAATATTTTTAGTTAAAAAATGTAATGGGTGTTTTGCAGAGAATATTCGTCTATGTTTAGTTTAGTGCTAATTATTAAGGGCTGAAGACTTGTAGGAATTGAACTGAGTTGCTCTGCACAGGCCCAGACACCCCTGAGAATCATATAATGGTGCAGGGTAGCACAGGCTCTAATTTTCTGTCTGTTACTTGCAAGACAGCTTTCCCAGGGCTGCCACGCTGGGCCTTTTCTTAAAATTTTTGAGACAACTGTTGAAATGAGGTAGCTTTTTGATTTGGGTGTATCTATATCATTTCACAGGCATCCCTTGTGAGTGCAGTCAGCTAAGGAAGGCTATTGGTGAAATGGACATTCAAGTAGCACAGCTGACGACAGAACTAAAATTCATAAAAAATGGTAGGTTAATTTTACGCAGTTTTCCTTTCTTTTCGCCTCATTGTATCGGTGTAATCGCTCGCAAGGAGCGTCGCCGTTCCACCTGTGATTTGTGCAGCCGTGTCGGGGTGTGCAGTGAGTTGGTTTATAGAAATGCGAGTGCTCACTTTTCAGCACTGCCCTCCCCCGCAGCTGTCGCCGGCGTGCGTGAGACAGACAATAAGATCTATCTGCTGGTCAAGGAGGAGAAGAGGTACAAGGAAGCCCAGCTGTACTGCCACGGGAGAGGAGGGACGCTGAGCATGCCCAAGGATGAGACTGCCAACAACCTGATTGCCTCCTACATCAACCAAGCTGGGCTCACCAGGGTCTTCATTGGGATTAACGACCTGGAGAAAGAGGGGAATTTCGTCTACTCCGACCGGTCTCCCATGCAGACCTTCAACAAATGGCGCAGCGGGGAGCCCAACAACGCCTACGACGAGGAGGACTGTGTGGAGATGGTGGCGTCCGGGGGCTGGAACGATGTGGCCTGCCACATTACCATGTATTTTGTGTGCGAATTTGACAAAGAAAATGTCTAAGCTGCTCTGCCCTTTCTTTGTTCTAAGACAAATGTTTAAGGCGATTGTATGAGTTACTCCACGTCTTATAGAGTACAAGTGGAATTTTGCAAGTACGCGGCATCAGAGTTGTACAGCTGTAAATACAGTTTAGGTGTTTTGAATATCAGAATTTACCCTTCAGAAGGGAAGAGCAGTAATAAGGCATAGCTTGGTTGGCTTTTTTTTAATGTAGGAAAGTAAGTTTATTTAGATAAAAATATGCTTTTGGGCTACATTTTGCCCTTACAACAGTTAACAAATGTGATTACATGAACGACTGTAAAGGAAGGCAGAATTTGGCCTCTAGTTGTAAGAATGGTTAGAATTAGATTCCTGATATTCTTTTATCTTAGTAAAATTTGTAGTTATAAATACTAATTACTGGCAGTGCTACAGGGATATTTTGGCAACAAGACAAATATTTTGTATACTCCAATTAATAAATACAAATATTGCTGTAGGTGTTTTGAATGTTATACTTTTTTTTTTTTTTAAACTGGCCAAATCAAACCAAAAAGTTATGATTCCTACCAATTTTTGTAATGCTTCTTTATTAAATGGTTCACAGATGTATGACCAAAAAACATTTAAGTAAACTGAATTTTAGTGCTGAGGGAGGACAAAGTCTAGTGAAAGGTGTCCCCACCCATGGCAGGGAGGTGGAACTAAGTAATCTTTAAGGTCTCTTCCAACCCAAACTATTCTATGATTCCATGATCCTAAGCTATGAAAATTCTTATAGTTTAGTACTTAGAGTGTTTCCATCCAGATAGTGTTTTGGGGTTGGCTAAACGTAAAAGTAACAATTTGATTCTCTGCATTCCTTAGTTGAAAAGGATTCAGTGTATGAAGTGCTTCAGACCCTAAATGATTCCCTAAAGTGAACATTTCACATTTTTTAAAGATAATCTTGGTGCATCTTGTTACACAACAAGCAAATACCAGCCCTCCACAATCTAAGGCAGACTTCATATATATGCAACTAAGCTCATGAAAGCACATTAGCTATCAGTTCCTTTTAGTAAGAAAACAACTTTCATGTTTACACACATTGTTAAAATAATCCCCTGAAAAGCAGAAAAGTTTCTGCAGTTTTCCTGATTATGTATATAGCAGTAATAAATGACTTTGCACAAATAATTTATGTACCAAATTTACAATTGCATGTGATGGAAAATGTGATGTACATTAAAAACAAAACAAAAACCAAAAAACAAAACAAAACAAAAAAAAACCCAAAAAACCAAACCAGCATGATTTCACAAAAGAAATGATGAATTACTTTAAATCTTCCCAGGAGCCAGTTCCATGCCACTTCATCTCACTGTTAGGCACAGAAAAATCTACAAAATCTCTATGTTTCTTTAGCAATACCTTGCACAGTGTTTTAAGATGATTTTTAAGGATAAATGATCCCTGCATAACATTCTGATCAAAATGCATATCCGATCATTATGGCAGATTGGCATACAGGATACCCACAGTGGATATGGCATGTGGTCCCAGAGATTTCCTTACAACAGGGAAACCAGCTCCTGTCAACTCTGCTGTGCTGTGGCATGTAAACAATCAATGACCATACAATGCTGTTCATATCCACAGATGCTGACATTATTTGATTTATATACCTAAGAGAACTTTTGCTTGCTATATTTACTCTGTAAATCTCAATCCTTTCTATATATATTTATATATGTTTGCTGTTAATTTTGAAGATCACTAGCAGTACTATAGTATCCTATAGTATTTCATTATCAGCCCAGCTCCAGAGCAATCACTCAAAATGAATGGGTCCTTCAATTGCTTTATTTTCTTTTAATAAAGATAGGTATGATACCTGTGTGTTAGTCATTCTTCCAACTGCATATTGAAATCTATTAAATAATGTGAATCTCTTTCTATGCTAATATTCAAAGACTCTATAGAATTTGCAGGGAGCTAACAATTCCAGTAGAGCAATTTGTTTAGAGCAGAGCCTTTTGAATATCATGGTTTTTTCCTGCCTGCTATAGAAATCCTCAGAAACCCTTTAAATCCCGAACATACTTTTGTCAAATCATTGTTGCTATATTAAAACAGTCTAAACCTGAGATACAGATATTTGAAGCTCCCTCATTATGTGTGCTGAAGTTGCAGTTTTTCACCTAGGTTTTGGAAGTTTCTGTTATATTGTTCAGTTTCCTCAGAAAGATGAAAAGAGGCTTTTTAGGGAGATGGGAAGCTTTTTGAGATGCCAAATGCTCCTATTTTAGCTGAAGCCACACCACGTTTTAAAGATTGCCTTGATATGTGGAACATTTAAACAGCCTCAATTTCTATTATAATTTAGGATAAAATGTAAAAGCGATGGAAAAAACATTTATTTTTCCTATTTTTCGTGTTCTTCAGGATTTTTTTTTTTTGCAATGCATGATATGTGAGGTACAAACTAAATTAGTTTCATTGTCAGATACCTGTACACTGGCTGCAGCAGCCCTTATTTCACCATTTGGGCAAAGGGAGCAAGGCTGGTGTGTAAGGTCTCTAGCTGCCCTGCAAGGGGCAACAACAGCACATCAAATATTTACCCCTTTGAGGAACTGAGTGAGAAATGATGGAGGCATTGGAAATGAATGAGCCCTTCATAATTTCTTTCACTCTCTAGTTGCTGATGCCTGTAGGTAGACCCTTGCTGGAGGCAGAAATCAATGTTGCATGTAGTGCTTAGCCTGCATGAAGCCTGCTGACATGCTTGGTAAGGCTTCCATTGTTCTCCCTAGAATTTGGAACTATTGTTTCTTTTTTAAAATGAAATGAGTGATAAGTTAATTTTACCTGGGGTGTTTTCTACGTGCATTAAAACCTGCCGTTGTAATATAATTGCTCATTTTGTGTAGCTCTGCAGAAGCCTTTGGAACATGTCTGCCTGGCAAGTACAGTTGTTTCTCAGACTATTCTTATATGCTCTATTTTTGGTGGATACTTTTCCTCATAAATATATCTCCATAGCCCTTATTAATTTTATTCTTGAATAAAGGGCATTCTGTGGCATTTTAAAAAGGCAACAATAGCAGGTTTTTTTTTTTTTAATGTAGTCACCCATTCATGTTTTTGAATGACTTCTTGCCATAAAATGTGGATTTCATTCAACTGTACTCAGCACCTTTAGCTGCTAGGGCTGCGTGTTGTGGTATTGATGTCAGGGCTGAGTCCAAGGGGAACTCCACTGCCTGTGAGAGCTCTGACTCACTGTGGACATCTTGGGAGAGCACTGGATCATGTCTGATCCTGATCACCATCCAGATTTGCCACTCCACAACCTCACTGCTTGGTGGGAAGGGCTGCTCCCACTTGCCTTGTTATTCTGCTCAGCTCCTGGCTCACCATCCCTCATGAACCAGCTGCTCCTCACTGTGCTCTGACAGCTGACATGATTATCCCTGGAAATATGGGTTTGTTACAGGTTTGTTAGCAGCAGAACTTCTCCCTGACTGTGAGTTTTAAACATCCTTATATCACAGAGAGGAACTGTAAAAAAATTAATATTCATATGTGGGATATAGAGCATCCTTATTCATGCAAGTAAAATGGAGTGCTTCATTTTTCATAAGCTCAGGAAATGCCAGTTCAAATATGCTTTGCAAAATAGCAGCTGGTTGGACCTTTTTTGTTACAGTTCTTGATGAAAAGTGAAAGAAGATGATATTAAAATAATTTTAATTATAAAATATGATGAAGGTTCACATCAGAGGAAGACTTTTGAAGTAGACATTTTTCAAGATGTTTACTTTTAGAATTTTTCAGAATTTAATTTCCAAGTTCTAAAGCTTTATTTTGGCCCATAAAGGGATTTGATTTTTATAATATTGTTCATATGCTTCACACCATGTCAGTAGCACTTATCTGTATAATGTTTGAAATATTTTACTTTATTCTTCAGGTCTTGATTTCCAATGGGAACACATTATCTTTTTGAGACTTCTGTTTGCCATGCTGAAAGACTGTGACATGGAATTGTTTTTCCTCCTGAGCCTCCTATGACACTTTACATGTTTTGAGTACAAAACAATAGATAGTTCAACCTACATTACATAGAAGATATTCTTACTGATTATGAAAATTTTTCATTTAAGTATTATCCCATATAGCTAGTAGTTTATGCACGATTCCAAATGTCCAAACCAATCATTATATGAGATAAATACAAGCCCTTTGAAACCTGAAAATCTTTCAAATCTACTTTCATCCTGAATTAAATCAAAAATTTGTCAAAGTAACCAAATTTACAGTGAAGCAGGAATTCAGGGTTTCTCCTAGGTCTATATCCAGGTCTAGTTTTTATGGGAAACTCAGTGATTTGTGATGGTCATGGTGGAATCAAATCCTTGAGTAGAGAATTAGTGAACAATGCAATGATGTGTGACTTTACCCTTTGTACTTTCTGAACTGCATCCCCTTAGCCCTTGTTGGTCCAAAGGTCAGTGTCTTTTCACTGGAAATTGTGGTTTTCAGTTTTTGGCTTGCCTGTGGTACCAACAGTTTCATCACTCTACATGTCTGCCACAGATTATGTGCAAAGATATGGGATTTTTTTTCCACTGTGGGGACCTGGAAGTGCTTGTAAAACTGGCTGTGATGGGAAAGATATTGTGAAAAGCTGGAGCTGACCACTCACCCCTTCCTTGGGGTGCACATTCCTGGCCAGGGAGAGTCACTCCAGCCTACCAAGAGAAAAACTGACCATGTTATTGTGGGCAAAAAGAAAACAGAGTTTTAAGATTTACCTAGGGAAAAAAAATGTGCAGTGTAGGGTTTTGACTATTTACTTTACTGAGTAGCTGTGAGAAAGAACAGTTTGGCTTTAATTTTGCTGTAATAGGAGAGTACAAACTATGTGAAATGGAAGAGAAGGGGTTTGTGGAGAGGACACACTTGTTTGCTCAAGGTGTTTTTCCAGATGCAATTCTCCTCCTAGCCCAGAGCTTTTCTATTGCATGAGGAGGGAATCCTCTCAAGAGGGAGAGCACAAAATGGAAAGGGTGGAAGAAGCAGTGAGTGGATGTGCAGAACTGGCAGTGAGTGGGATGCCCATGAGGCAGAATGTAAATGTTACCTCCAGCCATTCTCCTGCTTCCTGCTAGGGAAATGTAATTATCTTGCCCTTTCCGTCAAAATGTCTCACTATAGCTCTGGATGGGTAACTCACAAAAATAGAGTGAGGTGACCAATTTAGCGTAATATCTGTGCCTAAATAAAGCCCAGTTTGGGTCTATGGACAAATAATAGCATCCACCACACTCTGAGTATATTAATGCATGAAATCACAGGGGATATAATTAAGAACTGCTATTCAAAGGCTAGCTATGTAGTATTGATGAGCTTCTGGATATTCTTTACATACAAAAGTGTGAATGCTGCCAGGAATTCAGCAACAGAAGGTCTGGCATGCAGCTGAACCATACAGGTGTTACCATACTATCATCTAGTGGCAGGAAG